ATCATAACTCTTGAATTCACATTTCAAATTCAAGATAGAGTTAAGAGTAAAGTTTGAGGGAGTTCTTTGAGTCATTTTGAGAAGTCTTTTGCAAACTTTTAAAACTTGTTTTATGACTTGAGTACTTGAGTATGAAGATGAGGAGAGTTAGAGCTTCATTTTTCAAAATATATCCTATTAGCAACTAGTAATATAAAAAGCAAAATCTAAAGGAAAGTATATAAATTGTCATTGTCTTAAAGTACGCATAGAGAAGAATTGTCTCGGCCTAATTTTTTCTATCTTTACTACTTCTCATACAATTTTAATATTTAGATTTTTTGATATTTTCTTCCAAGTAGAACATTCTTTTAAAATATGGTATGTTTTTTTTTTTTTTTGGTTTTGCTTCAAACAAGCGGAAGGAATACAAGAGAGGAGAAAGCACAATGATACAACTTTATATCTTTCAAGACAGTCATATTTTCGTCATGGGAGATATTAGTTCATCATAAGTTGACTATATTTGTGATAAAATAGTTTGTCAGGAATGTTGCCTTATGATCTATAATACGATTTATTCTTTGAATACAATTTAAATTTGAATTTTACACAATTATTATTGTCTCTAATCACAATAATTATAGTGACAAATTTATTTTTGTGGGTAAAAATAAAATAATATCCTTAGTGACGACATGATGCAAGTTTCAACTACAAAATTGGAAGTCATTTTTGTAGAAGCAAAGTTGTCACTAATTCATATATATTTAGGGACGAAATATCTTTTTTTATATAAATGTTGTATTTAGTGAATAAAAATGGTTTTATTCAACTCTGAAATATATGTAATTTCATAGATAATTGATGTCGTCACTAATTAAACTTAAGAATTTGTGACAGAGTAATTTCGTCACCACTAGTAACCTTTTTAGTGATGACAATACACTATCAACTACAATTTTTTGTATTTTTCTGATAATGAGTTTGTCATTAATACTATGCATTTGGAGACGAAGAAAAGAATCGTAGCTAGTTCAACTTCATTAGTGACGAAACACTGAAGTGTCTTTGTAAATATTTAATGACCAGTGTTTTAGGGACAAATGATTGACAAAAAAATTGTCAGAAAAACCTTTTGTCACAAAATATAATGTTTTAGTAACAAAATAATTTGTCCCTAATTATAGAAATTATTGTAGTAAACAGCCCCACAAAAATCAGAAACAAAAAACACCATTAAAGAGAGAAAGAGAGGTCTTCGGGACAAAGATTATAATAGTAATGTTTTTAAAAATAGTAATTTATCTTAATTTGATGACACAATAACTGAATTAAAAGAGATTCCAACACCTTAAAACTAGTTTACTTAATATAAGTATTGAGCTTCTACAAATTCTCACTTACTAGACCTAACTTAGGATTATAAGAGATTAATTTTACACCTCTTTATTTAACGCTTTTATACGTAACTTGTTGTATAGCCTTGACAAACTAAGCTTTGAACACATTACTAGTAGGGTTTTTTTTCACGCTACTATCATAAAGGCCTTTTGCTATAATAATAGAAGCTGCTAAAATATTTATCGATCATCAAGTTTTCTTTGTTTTAAATATATAAGATCACTAAAATATTTAGCGTACATTTAGAAAAGTGTCGATAAAGATAATCTTTATTGCCTCAAACATCACAGGCTATAATATAGCCAATTATTTAATAAAAAAATTATAATGGCTGATTAGTTCATTTTTAAAAGGGCTCGGTTTATCCTTTAATTAGGGAAACTAAGTAAATACCCCGTAAAAACAAAATAATTACAAACATATACCCCTTTACATTAATATCCTACTAATTAATTACACTATATATCCCCCCAACTAATTTCATTTAATGGATACTAAATCAGTATCATATACTATATTGATATCATTAAGGATGATAATGTCGCTTAATTGAAACTAAATCAGTATATATGTATTGTATTGGTATCATTAAGGTTTCTTGTTTAGAAATTACTCATTGGTCAGTGATACTATAAGAGTATATATATGTTCTCTTATAGTATCATTGACCAATGATTAATTTTTGAACAAGAAAGTTTAAAGATATATATATATATATATATACATACACACACACTCTTATAGTATCATTGGCTAATGAGTAATTTATGAGAAATAAACCTTAATGATACCACAACAATATACATATACTCTTATAGTATCATTGACTAATGAATAATTTATGAACAAGAAACATCAATGATACCAATACAATATATATATACTCACTTAATATCAGTTTAGTGAAATTACCATCCTTAATGATACCAATACAATAAATGATATTGATTTAGTATCAGTTAAAAGAAAATTATCAGCCTTAATAAATGAGGGATATGGACTGTAATTTTTTTTATTTTGAGAATGTGCATCTCTTAAATTACTTTGGATTGGAATATAACATGTAATCATTTTGAGTTTTATGACTCATTTATGTAGTTTTTCGTTTTAGCATCTATTTATTGCCAGGTAATCAAATTTATTATTGCTAAAAGTTTTGTGCTTAAATGGCTAATTTATTTTCAGCACAAAAGTGAAATTCATTTGAAATTGTCTTAATTTGCTTTTTAACATACATTTTTATTGACATAAATCTAATTATATTGTTGTAAGAAGTCATAGGTTTTAACAATTGTTAGTGACAATTATATTTGTTGCTATTAGCGTTCAAGACGCAGTGTCCAACTTAAAATAATGATATATGATAAATAATTACTCAATTGCGAGATAGCAATTTTATCAATTAGTTTGTAATACATTATCTCGAGAATCCTTTGGATACTATGAAGGGGTAATGTCAAACTTCAAAAACAAGGATTAACATGCCATGAGAACGACCTCTCTATTCTTTTATTTTCTCTTAAGAAATGATATTATGTTCTTTTTCTCACTTGGAAATTGGAATATTATGACATGATAAATATGCTCTTTTCATATCAACATAAAAGTTTGATACTCCTCTATCCCTAATTATTTGTCCACTTTTTCTTTTATAGTTGTCTCTAATTACTTGTCCATTTTGACAAATCAAGAAAGGACAAATTTTTTTTACCTATTATACCCTCAATTAATTACTTTGAAAAAGGTAGAACTTTTTGAAAATCTTAAATTTTTAATTCATCCACTTCATAATTAATAGGGGTAAAATAGTAAACTCACTATGTCAATAATTGTTTTCTTAATAGGCGTGTCAATTCAAAAGTAGACAAGTAATTAGGAACAGAGGAAGTATAATACTTTAGGTTTCTTGATATTTATTATGTCAAAAAGTAACCAGAGAAAGTGTCACGATTCAAAATCTCAGGTCATGATGACACTTATTAATATCTCACCAATAGGAAAGCCGAATTCAAAAGCCCACTATCACCAACAAAAGATACACAATTACCTAACCAGACCCCATAAGCCCGGAAGGTACATAACTAACAAACAAAAATCCGATCCCCCCATAAGACCGGAAAGTGCAAATACCTACCAATTATACTGGTGATATGCTATGCATATGCATGCAAGTTATGCTCTAGAAACCAATAGTGCCAATAATATCAAGTGCCAAACAACCAACTATATACACATATCTCCTTCCCCAGCACGTTAGATAGGATCCATGCGGACTTCCCTCCTCCTGTTCAGTGAGTCACAGGGACTGAGGGACCATAGGAGACTCGAGAATCACAGTCTTAACCTGAAAGTACTAGTGAAGTGACATCTAAGCACAACTAATGCCAACCTACGTCTATAACAAGCCACTAAGATCATATGTACTAACGGAGGGTACCAAACCGTAGAAACTACTACAGGAAGAACCCAATTCACTAAAAGGGGAAATGCACCGCTCTTTTGTGAGAATACAATTAGTGTAAGGCAATGAATGTAAACTGTAATCAAATATGTTATTGTACGTCTAGTATGATAGTGTTAAATCCCCTTTTAGGTTTTCAATTTGTTTGTTGTACTGAATTAGTCATTAGGGTCGATATCATTTTCTCTGATATTGCAGAGGTTGTTTGTGTTTGGGAACATTTCAAGTGTGTTTACTTCTTCTTCTTGTTTTTTTAATCTATTATAGTGTCTTACCATAATATATGTATTTGAAATCTTAGTTTCTTAATTTATTTCCTTTTCTTAATTTAAAAAGTTTCGTCACTAAAAATATGTGACTCGTGCATGTATTTTAACACGAAATGTAACTTTTATCATGAAAGTGAACAATTTGTGATGAAATATATGTTGTAGCTAAGACTTTCGTAGCTAAATATCATATAAATAGAAATGACTAATTATTAGGCCGTATGATTATTGATAGAAATGACCAATTTAGTTGAAGGGAGGCTAATAATTCTTATTTTAGAGTCAATAATGGCTTTAGACTTGAACTATGATTGCTTAAGCAAAATAAAGTATCATTGCTTACACACAATAATCTAGGTGTAGACAGAATTAGATTTAATAGCCAACACATATATGTACTATCCCAATTATTACTTTCATGAGCATTAATTTTGAGAATATATATATTCTCCCAATTCTTATAGAAAGTGGTTTACTTTTACGGTGGCACAAATAAAATATGTCAAATGTATTCCTATATATAATTTTAGCACCCCCCTCATATATACGAGATACAAACATTCATTAACTAAGAGTTAAAAGACTCTAACATCTACAAATAATTAATTAATTATAGGATAAACAAACTCACATGGAAGGAATATATATATATATATATATATATATATTTGTAAAAGAGATAAAACTTGACTATTAAATGAAATTAAAAGTAGTTAATTATCCACTCACACCATTTATTTATTATATAATAAGATAATAGTTAACATAAAGATACATGACCTTTTATACTCACTCCATATGATCGATATGAGTATTTATTAGATATTTATTAAGTCAAAGAGTCATGCATTAGTAAGGAGTGGAGAAATCGAAATGACCAAGCTTGACTATATCATAACTGTTACTAAACTAAATGTCCCCACAAGTGCTGATAAAACTACACCACCCACACCCTGAATGATGTTTCCAACAAGCATGAGGGGAGCTTGAAGAATTCCTGTGGTGGGCAACAAAGCACAATTAACAATTGGGAGAGCAACCCTTGCAACACATGAAAGATTTGAAGTATTTCCAAACAAAATATTTGTATTGGTGCTCAATGTAACATTTATTAAACCTTCAACATTTGTGATCACTTGAGCAAGGGTTGTGTTGCCACAAATAATGGCGACATTTACTCCACTAATTCCGGGGCCTGGGGCATTTCCCGATGTGGAGCAAGACACAACACCCCGTATAGTTATATTAGCTGGTTGGCCAACAACGGATGGAACTTGACCAACGGGTGGCACAATAGATGGTACTTGACCAACGGGTGGCACAATAGATGGTACTTGACCAACAATGGGTGGTATTAGCTGGCTAACAATGCCTGGTAATAGTTGGTTAAGAATGGGTGGTAATAGTTGGTTAAGAAGAGGTGGTAATAGTTGGTTAAGAAGGGGTGCTAATTGACCAACAATGGGTGGTACTTGTCCAACAATGGGTGGTACTTGTCCAACAATGGGTGGTATTTGACCAACCGGTGGTACTTGGGCAACTGGTGGTACAATCGGTGGTACTTGACCAACCGGTGGTCTAATGGGTTGGCCAACAATGGGACCAAGAATGGGACCAACAATGGGAATGGGACCAAAAATGGGACCAAGAATGGGACCGAGAAAGGGGAGTTGAGCATGGGCTAGAGGACTGGTGGTGATGATGGAAAGCAGCATAATGAGGAAAACAACACATATTTTTGAAGACATCATGATGATGATGATGATTTGGTAATACTTTTTCTATTCAATATCCCCTTTTTATAGTACTGCTTTTTATTTACTCCACCCCTACCTTAACTTACCCCCCCCCCCCCAAACCTATATAAATGATTAAAAAATGTATTATACGTAGATATATTATGTTCCATGCTTAAATAATAGAGTATTATTAAAGACGTACAACTTCCAATATTTCTCTCACATATATCCTCATCAGTTAGGTTCAAACTCATCAACTTGAAGATCATTGGGACCATAGAAATTAATTAATTCACTATCATTTGACTTGCCATGATGTTTAACAACCACATAAAAGATTTTTGAAAATAATTGTGTGATTGTAAATCATTTCATTAAAGGTAGAACAAAAAGAATTTTAATGTTATATTGTTTTTAATATAGTAAAGTACATTATTTTTTAAACGGAGAGGAAGTTTTTAAAACTTATTTTTTTTCTTTCTCTCTTTAAATATATACTAGTATACGTACTTGCGTGTTGTCGGTCGGTTTATAATGTAATCTTAAATACTGACTTAATGACAATTTCAAAATTCAACCTACTATAGAAATGATATTATAAAATTTTTATTAGAGAGTGTTATCATTTAGCACCTTGACATGTTATAATAGAATAAGTATGAAAATAAATCAATATATAAACTTAATAAGTTCATTGTATAAATTTGATAATTATTATTTTTAGCATTATTTAATTTATTTATTTTTTAAATTATTAAAAATCGTAATACTCTCACACAATCCTATGACATGGAATTAGAGGGTATTTGGATGGCTTAAAAGTTGGTCAAATCTACTTTTAAGTCAGTTTTTGACTTCTAGAAATATTTAACACATAAAAATAACTTAAAATAAACCAAAAATAACTTAGAAAATAGGTTAGAAGGTGTTTGACAATGTTAAAAATAACTTAAAAAATAAGTTAGATGAAAAGTATTATGTCAGTCACAAAGTACAAGACCATGTGTCAAGAAGGGTAGTATATCAAGGTACTATGTTAGTCACAAAACTCACATTATGTTCTTTTTCTCACTTGGAATATAATGACACGATAAATGTGCTCTTTTCATATTAGATTAAATTAAAAACTAGATATAATATTGTAACACCCCAATAGACCTAAGGTCCGTATCAAATCATGGGAGTTCAAAGTTTCAAGTCTACGGAAAAATTGAAATTTACGGACCGTAAAAAAACTACGGATGGTAGATGATACTCGTAGATCAAAGTTCAGAAAACGGGCTATATATGTTTACAAGTGGTAGAACTTTTCATGGATCATAATTTAGTCTGTAGATGTTAACCCCCTTCGATTAGTTCGTGTGTTAAGTTCTTCAGATTTTGAACCCCTTATTAAAAGTCCTAGCTCCGTCACCGCGTAGATGGTCTTGTGGAACCTACAGAACTCAGTTTTTCTACTCTGCCAGGGTCATTTTGATTTTTCCCACTCTTTTAATCCCTATACTATATCGTTTTAACCTATTTTAAGTTGGATTAAAGGGAAGTTAGTTGACTAAACCTTCTCATTCACGCACAACCCTTAGATAAATTCATCTCTTACGCTAACTGAAGATTCCTCTCAAGCAAGAACTAAAGTTCTTCACCTTCAAGCTTCTCATAATCTGATCAAGAAATCAAGCCAGTGTTTTCTTTTCAGGTATGAAAAGAGCTCATCATTTGTGTTGCCATCATATTCCCATAAAAAAATGTCATTATTCTTATGACAAAACAAAAAAAAAACGTAGTTAATTATTACTCGCTCTGTCCCATTTTATATGAGGTAGTTTGATTCGGCACAGAGTTTAAGAAAGAAAAGAAGACTTTTAAATCTTGTTGTCCAAAATGATTGATAGAAATTTGTGTGGCTGTAAATTATTTCATTAAGGGTAAAATAGATATTTTATAATTAAATTGTTACTTAATATAGAAATGTGTCATTCTTTTTGGGACCGACTAAAAAGGAAAGTAAGTCACATAAATTGGGAGAGAGCGAGTATCAGATTAAGTAACTTCTTGTTTTAAAGTTCTACGTTATATTTCAATAATATCTCAAGCATTTTTGAGTTATTACAATTGTTTGTAATTGAGAGAAAACACAATGATAATAAACCAATCACAACACCTTACAATTAAGTATAGACAAAACATATTAGGTAATTAATACACAAAATAACAGTCAATAGATCACACTTAATTTTATCCTAAAGTTTTTTCTCCGAGAAATATGAACTCCAATATGACATGTTTCCAATATGATATTAACTATAAATTATTATGTATATGGAAGTTAATATATGGCGTTAAAAAAATAAATTTATTATTAGTGGTGGTCCTCAAAGCTAAGTTTGGCAAGGCTATTTTAGCCTGGGGTTAAATGTGAAGACCTTAATTAGAGATATGTAAAGGTAATCTCTAATGGTCTAAGTTAGGTCGGGTAAGTGAGAATTTGAAAAAGTAAAATACTTATATCAAGTAAACTTTTTTATTTAGACGTGTTAGAATATCTTTTCATTCAACTGCTGAGACTTGAGCCATAACATAAGATAAATTATTGTTTTTAATAGTACGTATTAAAGTTATAATGAATGGTGAATATTTTGTAAAAAGCACATTTATGATACCATTATATTCCATGTGAGAAAAAAATATAATGTGTTTTTCTCTTTTGAGAAAACCAAAAAATAAAATAGTCATTCTCACATTACGCAAGTCCTTGTTTTTAAAGTTATACATTATGCATATACAATATGTAAAGCATGCTCGAGAAACCTGAGATCCAACCTCGACCCACGACCTGACCTCGATCTGAGACCCAACCCCGACTCCTGGACCCTACATCCGATTCAGGATCCAATTTTTGAATCAGAATTCGACCCCGCCACACGATTCGAAAGCCGACCTCAACTCCCGACTCCCGACCCAAACATCTGATTCAAGATCCAACTTTTGAATTGGGATCTAACCTGACAACCGACCCGAGACCTAACCCCAACACTCAATCCGTGACCTGATCCCGACCCCAACCTCGACCCTAGACCCTACCAGACCCCAACCCGAGACCTGACCCTGACCCGAGACACTGACCGACTTGACCTCAACCTCGATACAAGACCTCGACCTCAACATCGATACCTGACACCCAACCCCGACTTGAGACCCAACCCTGACCTTGACACCCGACCTATGACTCGAAACCCAACCCCAACCCGATTCATTTCGAGATCCCAATCAGAGACTTGAACTTGACCTCGATTCGATATCCCGACCCCAACTTGAGACTCGGCCCTGACCTTGGAACCCTACCCGAGACCCAACCTAGAGACCTGAACCTAACCTATATTAGAGACCCTGACACCCGACCCCGACCTAGACACTCAACAAACGACCCCGACCTTGACTCAAGACCCCGACCCCGACTTGAGACTCGACATTGTGACTCACACCCGACCCTGACCTGAGGCTCGAGACTTGACTCCGACCCCAACCAGAGACCCCGATCCAAGAGCTGGCCATGACCTCAACCTGAGACTTGACCATAACTTTGACCCCAACTCCGACCTCAACCTGAGATGAGTCCCGACCCCGACCCCAACCTAACCCCGACTTGAAAGTGTTTTCCTTAGTTTTGTAAGGAAAGTCATTTTCCTTAAAATTGAGGAAAATAAGTTGATTTGGAAAATATACACATTTTAAAGTTTTATTTCTGAGAAAAATGGCCTCAAATATGTTATGTTTCCGATATACTAGCTATTAATAACTAATTAATGAAATACCTCACCATTTATATATAAATATATTTTCATGAACATAATTAAAAGACTTTCCAACATTCTTTAAAATCGATCGGTTGATGATATATATGTACTGGATTGATAGATTAATCATTCCTTTTTTCCTTCTTTTATTTTAGAAAGCTATTATCTTATGGTACTAAGTTAGGTCGCGTAAGTCAGAATTTGAAAAACTAAAATATTTAATTACATTAATTTTAACATGTCTTTTCATTCAATTATTGAGCCATTAAATAAGATAGATTATTATTTTACTTACTCTTATAATGAATGGGGAAAACTTTGTAAAATTAACTCATGCATGCACCCCACTTTCTCCTCTTGATACTTTTTGATAAACTAAAAAGGAAAGTGCTAAATGGTCAGAAAATTTTGTCAGAATTTCGCCAGAAAATTAAAAAAAACTAAAATATTTTTTTAATTTTAAAATAAACTGATTTTTTTTTCCAATTTTTAGTTAAAATGTATTTAAGTTAAAAGGGTAAAAATGTTTTAAAAGTTAAAATAACATAGAAAAAAATATCATTCTGACCAAAAAGATTTTTCCAAAGTAAAATACCAAGAATATATTTTATTCTAACTTTTATGTTAAATCACTATTTCCAAAAACACCAAAATTTCTTATTCAATATTTAATATATATTCTTATATGAATACATGGCGTGACAAATAAAGTACTTGTGATGGTATTTCAAAGCTTAGTTTTGCAAGACTTTATATTACAGATTTCGTGTGAAAACCTTAAAAGTAAATTAAAGTGATGTTAAAGTAATCTATAATATAATGGTCCTAGCTAGTTATTAGGTCTACTGAGTGGAAAGTTGCAAAAGTAATATAGTAAATTATCACTTTAGTCTCCGACTACAATCTTTAAAACATCTTTTTATTTAATTAAGTAATTTAAAGATGCATCTCTTATGTTACATGTCATCCATCCAAGCATATATATAAAATTTGCTACACGCGCGCGCACACAAACAAAAATAAATAATTTAATTCTAAGAATTTAGCAATTAAAAAAAAAATATTTTATCTCTTAAAAAAATATTTTTAAAAAATTACCTCATCCCACCCCTACCGGGGGAGAGGGGGGGGGGGAAGGGTTGGAGTGGGGGAAGTCGAGATAGGCAGTGGTGTGAAATAAGA